AAATAAGATCTTTGAATCAATTCATGCTTCTCCGATCAAATTAATCTGACCCACTTCAGATTAAAACACGTTGTACTTCAGTTCAACAACACAGCAACAACAACAACAAAACCCTTTAATTTTAAAATCTGTGCTTTAAACACTTTGTATCTCTTTCCAACTTTAGTTAATGCTTGTGTTTTCAAATTAAGTGTATTATTTTTGAAAAGTACGACCGTACTGATAATCCTTTCCTCATTCCATCCATAATCTGAGTATTTAGGCCGTAAAAAGCATTCTGAATTTTCTAGACGTAGAACCTTGAAAACTTATTGATGTCTTTCTTTATTGTTTGTTTGCCTGAATATTATTGCTTTGTCTGCTGGCTTTATGATAACATAATTTTGGCTGCGAAGAAAATACTTCCTTACGCTTATCCATGCATCCTAATTATTTTCCGTACTTCCTTATGTTTCCGCCGAAATCGACGCATAATACACATAATACAATAATACACAGAGGCACGGTTACAGATATAAGATATCAAATGGGAGACTTAAAGGCATTACAGATTGGAAGCAGACAAAAGGTCCTTTTAAGTCAGTTGGTGAAGTCCTAGAAGTAGACGGATTTGGAGAAAAAGCCTTGAAGGACATTTGCAAACGAATAGTGGATAATAATTTATGCGAAACTAAGTTGGCAAATGCCAGGCAGTATAAAAATATAAAAAATCTAGTGCTTCCCGAACTGAGTTCGACGTTGACACAGGTAACGAGTAGTAAAAGAGTAATATCTTTTCAAGATGATTATATTTTATTTTAGACGTTAGAAGATGTAGTTGCTATTCATCTAGACCCTAGTGGTATAGGGTGGTCGAAAATTAAAAACCAACACAATCTGGTCACTGATTGGGAATATCGGAACTTTAGTTCCTTGCCTGCAAAAATGTTGCCTTCAGACGCATTTTATCTGGTGATTATTTTTATTCAGAAAGTTATCTTCGACTTGTCCCGCTTGTATTATAGGCTTTGGATATTGTGAAAGCAATACCCAGTGGAGATTTGTACATTTTCGAAGCACCCCCTATTTTAAGCCCTCAAAATCTGACTAAACATGGTGTTGTTGCGACGCACAATCAGCATGTTGAACTGCAATCAATGTTACTGACATTGTTGAATACAAGTGAAGTTCACAATAAGTTTTTGGAAACAATTGCAGATGATAAGTTTTATTCTAGAGAACTTCCAAATGTAGTGTTCTATTTAAAAAATAAAGTTGCTGCTAGGTAGGTGCAAAGGTTCCTAATAAATTCATTTCTCACTTTAATAAAAACTAACGTTGGTTTCAGACTGTTTAAGACACTGATTGGATATGAAAAAGTATCTGCAATAACCGCCATTACTGGAATAGTAAAAGATGATGCAGGAATAGTAACTTTACTGCCATGCTCACCTGTTAAATTTGATTGCAATGTGTATACAGCGTTCTTAAATCAAAGTTCCGCTAATAAAGAGTTATTGGCTCAAGCTTTAATGTTGGCTGTTAGTTTTATGGACTTGTGTATATATAAAAATGTTGATAGTTACGATGCTTTAAAACCAACACGAAAGAAAAAGTAGAATAGCTTCTACTGTAATAACATGAGTTGTGTATTTTATTATTACTATACTTAAAATATACCAAACATTAAAAGTTTTTCTTTTTTAGTCATTTATTAACGATCAATCTACCTGAATTTATGACTACTACTATCCCGGTTACATGAAATGATATCCCATTATAATATATTTTAAAATAATTAATTGTTACAAAGCGTTGTAAAATGCGAAAGAGAATTATAGTTTTATAATGAGCGCAGTCGAAAGGATAGTTCTGATTAAACTGGTTATTTTCAATTGGATATTGATGGTAGCTGAAGTTGGGTTTTGAAAGCAAATAAAACATTTTGTATCAATCAGATTCTGATAAATGCGGATTTAACCATTATAAAATCTCGCAAAATACTTCTTTCTCGAGCGGCAATGACACATTGTTAACAACTTTCTTGATCAAATAGAAGAAAGTGGAAGTAGTTAATGAAACAACGTTATTTGTTGTTAAAATTGCAAGATATTTGAACTTAAATTCAAAGAGCAAACATCTAAATTGGATACGTTGTAATATTGGAAGAATAATGGAAATATATACAATTCGTCATGTTAGCAGGCAGTAAACCTTAAAAATAAAACACGGAGAACATCAATACGGGAACTCACTTTCATTTGTATAAGTATTTTGATTATTTCGAGAACATTCAACAAATTTTATATTTGTAATACAACTGGCATTTTTTCAGTCCGGGGCCAGTAAATAATGTATTTGCTTCCAACAGACAAATATTTTGAAGTAGAAAATTATATGTTTTAAGTCGATTTTTGCCATAAACAGAAGCGATGATAATTTGGGACTAAATATTTTTGAAAACTCGATATTTAATTGTAAAATTAAAAGTTCAAAATACACGAGAATATTTATTTGGGTCTAATTTAGATATCAATTTCACAAAAAAACCGAAAAACTTTAGAATCATGGCCGAGTTTTGTAGATAATTAAAAGAAAAAAATATTTTGAGCCTCCTGGTAGAGCATTAAATCTTCCTTTCGATAATTTAAATCTAAAAAATATAAACACAACAAAAAAACTTGTTTTTGTATCGGCGAAGCTGCAGAAAAATGTCTGTGTTTAAGTTATACCGTGTTACCGGTTTGACTGTCAGTATTAAATCGTGATTCAAAATTAAATTTTGCGTCGCGTTAATCGGTACTGTGAATCTTGTGAGAACATTTTGTGTGCTTTGTGATGTGAAATGATAAATTGAACTTGATGGAACGGGGCAAATTGAGTACATGGTGAGCACCAGAGTTTCATTTTAGATATTCCTTCTTGCTTCTTTTGGATATTTGCAAATGTACGCAATAGTTTTGAAAAGTGAAAAATGAATCTATAGTATAGTATATTGCTTAAAAAAATAAGGAGTTGAGAAAGGTGCTGAAAATATGTAAAAGTTTGATTATTACTGCAAATACCGGAAATCGTCTATTATTCAGAATATATTATTTAGTTTTTTGTTATCGGGAAAGTTTTTAACCCCAAAAAAAATGCCACATTTCAAGGAAAAGGTGTTTCATTGGGCATCTTTCATGGGGAAATATAAAAATGAAATTTTAATAATTCATTTTTTGTTACGTGTTGAAAGTTGTTCAGTTTTTGATGTTACCAACATTAACATGTTTAATACTGTAAAACCTATTTTCTTCTCTATTATTGAGCGCAGTAGTATTTCGGGTTAATCACTAATTGAATATTATCCCACTTTACATTTAATATTTACTGGGCGTTTATAAATGTTTAAGTTTGCCGGTTTTCTTACGCTTTTAGCCGAAGTTCCACACGTCCAATTTCACGTATTAGCTAACAAAATAATACTGTTTGGACACAATGATTTAAAGAACTATGAATCAAACACCACCTCCTTGAATAACAACTTTATTTTAATAGTATTATTAACGCTACAATGCATAAATATATCACTATTCGAAAAATGCAAACTTGAAACAGTGTAAAGGTACAAAATGATTAAGTTTATCTAAAATATGTACGTGGAATGATCTAATTTATTGACATATTTTGCTATTTCCTATGTTATAACATTTTTCAACAGTCTTCAATTTCTAAATACTGGACAGGAATGTAAATGATTTAAGTGTATCTATATCACTAATATTCATTACCTAGGTAAATATTTTCTCAAATGCCACAATTGCTAGAACAGTTTATTATGGCTATTCCACAGGCAAAATGTCTTTATATCGTTGATTAATTGATATAAAATAATTAGACTGATGGAGATTTTGCCAATGGAGCAGCCTTTAGAAGATATTGTTACCACTAAATGAAATACTGATTGCATTTGTCGGAAATGATTGAAAATTGTGTATATTTCACATAATGTTTGTACAAGGGTGATATTATTTGTTTAAAAGGACGGCTTTAGCTTTTCGTACACAATCTTTAACGCTTCAAAGTGGATATGAATCTTCAGTCTCAAGGACTAAACATTGATACTTGGGTATCAAAAAGATATGATAGTGAATTTACTATGCTTGCATTGATTTCGATCTTATTGAGTAACAACCGATTTCTTATGATATATCGCAGTTTAGTTACAACAATTCCTATTAATCGATTCAAATAGGCACCATAAACAGTTCTTTGGCATCAAAACTGGAATGTATTAATTTAATTAAAAGTAATTCAAGAATCATGTGCTAGAGGGTTGCGTGTGCCAATAGAAAACTCACATTCTTTGGTTTACGAAAAGCTCGTCAAGGCAAAGGTTTAGGTACATTTTCATCAAATTGCCCCACGTAATTGCCTTTCGGATGATAATTGCACACAACATAAGTTTGACCCTTTGCATTTTTCGCAATTCCCACTCCCAACTCTTTGCTGTCTTTCCAGATAATTTGGGTAAAGTGTAAACTTTCTTGAGGAACTCTCGATCTGTTGTATGAGTGCTTTTTGATTTCATCGTACCATTCTTTCACAGCATCGCGAGCAGTTGGTACATAACTATAATCCGAAGAGTACATTGAGAATATGTTTTCTCCATATTGGTTGTTTGCTCGATGTTGTAGGCTGGTAGTGCGTGCACACGTTTCAGCCCACTCTTGTGCATATTTGGAGATCTGAAAAATTGTAATTTCGAGTTAGGTTTTTTACTTAAAACATTTTAATTTGGTGGAGTAATGTTTGAGCTTTTGGGAGAAATTTAATTCGAGATGTACAAATCAATTGTGGCTTAACATGAATTAACATTTTTATCGACATGCAATTCTGTTTTATTTGTTGCTTTTTACATTAAAAAGTCGAAGCATTTGCATTTTGACGCAAAGCTCCGTTAAATGTGAGTGTTCAGTTTATCTCTTGATACAATAATAATTAGAGTTAGAGGGAGAGCGTGTAACATTTACACACATTTGATATAATTTAAAGCCTTTTTGGGTTTCGATTTTCTTCAAAACTCATCAGTTATTCATATTAATTATACGAAAAATTGAATTACTATTTTTAACTATGATTTTTGAATTTTTTTTCTTAAAGGGTTTCTGAATTTCAAATCTGCTGTAAAAATGACGTAAAATTTTTGAAACTGCCCGCACAATGTCGATTACATCTACATCTACATTTGTAAAGTCTTACTTCATAGTTTAGCACCAACTGTGGAACCCCATGTTTTCGTCTATATTCGTTATGAACTTGAAGAGCATCTTTAGCAAAACTTCTAATATCAAGTTCATCGTTTTTCTGCTTTGGATCTGAAGCGGCTTGAGCTGCGTTTTGCGCCATATCCGGAATTGAATCGTAAAATGTAGGTTTGAGGGGAGGACAGTTTTCTACATAGTGTCCCACAAAATTTCCGGCAGGGGAATAGTTAGCAACCACGTAGATGCTACCTTGGCTTGATTTTGCAACACCCACACCAAGAGATTCGCTGGATTTCCAGATCACTTGCGTGAAATGACCGGATTTCAAAGTACTTGGTTCACGACTGAATGGGTGATCTTTGATTTCCTCGTACCTGTGCATTCAAATCGAAATAAAATCATGTATTTTGGCAAAAAATAGTTCTTACCAATTATCTACTGGTGTGTTTCCATTGACTCTGAAGCTTGGATCTGATGTATAGAGGCAGTAAATATTCTCCCCATAGTTGCTTTCAGGTCGATGTTCCAGAATATTTTTCGAAGCCAGATGCTTCGCCCATTCTTCGGCGTATTTGCAAAGGCTTTTGTCCAATTTCAATGGGGGAACACCGTGTCTTTTTCGATATTTGTTGTGCGCGTTGAGAAAGTCGTCCTCAAAGTCTCCTTCGGTCACTGAGCGCAGATCTCGAGTGGAGCTTTTAGAGCTGAGAGATAAGCGACCGAGTTGAGCTAATAAATATAAAACAGAGTTTAGATGGTTTTGACACAAAATATACGGTTTGAATTTGACAAAACGAAGTAATTTCAATGTTAAAATTCAGTATTTTAGCAGCTTACTTGGTAATTCTATAGTGTTATTGTTGTTGTTGTTGTAGCTGGGGGACAGTCCTCCAGGTGGTGGAACGTTTTCGTCAAAACTCCCAATCATATTTCCAGGTGGATAATAATTCGCAACTACAACCACTTTTCCTCCCATTTTTGCAAAAGCCACGCCTAGCTGCTTAGACTCCTTCCATATGACTTGGGTGAAATGTCCAGAAGCCAGACTTTGGGGCTCCATGCCAAACTTATGCAGCTTTATCTCATCATACCTGCCAGATTTGCAATTGCAGTAGTTTTAGATTTTCTATAAATGAGTGCTTGCGTGCTACTCACCAACTTTCCACAGCTTTTCTCCCAGATACTGTGAAATTGGGATTCGACGATTGCATCATAAAAATATTCTCGCCATAGTCCCGATTATTGCTATGCACTAAAGCTCCTTTCCTGATCAGATGGTCGGCCCATTGCTGGCTAAACTTGCAAATCTCCTTATCCAACTTTAAAGGTGGGACTCCATGCTTCCTGCGATATTCATTGTGGGCTTGCAGACATTCAGTTTGAAAGTCCATTTTCCGATGGAGCGGTTTCTGAAAAATTAGTCGTTGCCTATTAATGAATTAACCAATTATTTAATATTTTACCTTGATACTCGTTGGCTTATTGGGGCTTCTTGTGATTTTTTCTGCAAGTGCTCTGGCGATATCAGGGTGGCACTTGTGCTCGAAATCCTTTTTCTCAGTAGTGACTTTACATTCAGTTCTTTGCCCTCGGAACGTTTCGATTGTTTCTCTTGTAACCGTTTCCAATGTTGGTTCCTGCAAGATTAAAATACGCGGCGTTTCATATTAATGCGCAAATGTTTTAAGGTGAAGTTTAGAAGGATTTATTGAGCCCTTCATGGTTGTTGCAGCTAAATAGTTTTACTTATGAAATGCTAGAATTTTGGATCTCTTACAACCAGTTGAGCCTTATTTTGTGGTGATATTCTGCTCACGAGTTCCGATAAAACCTTATATTAAATTATCTTACAATCAGTTTTAAGTGAGGATTTTGCTACCAAGAATGACGATTTTTGCCCTATTTTTAACTAGCTTGGTGTGAGTGGAAAATGTTAAATTCGTCTGAAAAATTAGTTCGTTGAAAAATTGAGTAAAAAAATGGTAACGTCATTCTGATGCGCTCGCTCTGTATACAGGGTGATCCTGTAACTCATTTAAATCTTGGAGTTTCAATCTCGACTATTAAAATTCTATAAATTATTCTTGATCAGAGTTTATAAGCTTTTAATGCTTAAATATCTATGTAAGGAAAACTTAAGAAGCATTAGTTCAAGTGCTTTTCAATTAATAAAAAATATAATCCAAATTGTCTAAACTAATCGGTTTTCACTGATTACTTAGGTGATGGTGTTATGTTTTATGACTACGTGACAATCACAGCTAATTTTCAACAGATAAATGCTTCAACCCGCAGTTCAGGCTTCTTACTCCACATTTATTGTACATTTTTTTTTGTTTCAAGGTTTAATTAATTTGACGAAATGTCCAATTAGAGAGACGTTTTGTAAGTGCATGACACTGTTCGAATGAATTGCTTGAAAATTTCCAATTGCATGGCTGATTTCTTTCACAGTAGACCATAGAAAATTAAACATCTCCTGTGTTGCGGCCGTATGTTGGCTAATTTCTCACATCTCACTGGTTCTTAGAGATTTTGATTTTAGAGAAACTGCATTTTGTAGAAAACTGAGAATACAAGCAAAACATTTCAGATATTTTCCTACTTTAATATTGCAAATAACTGCTGTTTAAATAAACGATCGTGATTTACCTGCATTGACCCGTAATTTGCATTTCCCGTCGGATGTTTGAATTGATGCTTTCAATTTATTAACAGCATTTATTAAAGGCGGAAGCACAAGTTGTCGTTGCTGCATATGTAATTTTTATTGTATTGCATAATTTGTACTGAAGGTTTTTCTGATTTACTTAGATTTATTGTCACTTTTATTATTATATTAGGGACCTAAGCTGCATTGGAATCAACAGAAGGTAGTATTTACATAAATAGGATCGCACAAAAGCTAAGCACAATTATTTGAAGGCCTTTTAGATGAAATTTTATTACCAACGATATCCAGTATATCTATTAATCGATTTATCATTAAAGCATTAAGTGATTAGCACTCTTGCACGCAATTTCGTTTAGTATACGAACGAGTTTTGTGCTGTAATAGAGTTACTATAAATTGAAAAATATGCTTAAGTTGCACCATTAAACTAAATCAGAAGTCGTTAAAAATGGGAAAACTAGCAAATCAGCAAAATTTTACTAACATTGTTAAGAAATAATCCAGCTTTTAAGTCGCTTATTCCATTAGTTACAACAAAATTTTTGAGGAGTGGCAATATTGCCACATTATCATGGATATACAAGTATGTAATGAGTTGGACACGCGTTGTTCTTAGTTAAAAAGGAACCCGTTATCTGACTAGTAAACTTTTTTTAAAAAAGTTCCTTAATTAAATAATTAATATCCAATATTCGCTATTAGTAGTGTTTAAGCGTAGTATAAGAGGTCTGTTACTAAAATACAGACATTTAAATTGTAACTTTCTTTATTATATACACTTGTGGGATACAAAAAAGTGATTGAAATTTAAAAAGGGCAAGAAAGTGGCAACAAAATTACGAAAGAGCATTTTAAATTCCAACTTGTTTTGTTTTATTATCTGTAAACTGTTCTAATTCTTTCTAATAAGGATTGAAAAAGTGTTTTACTTCCGGCTGCTTAAACTGAGACTTTTGAAATTTTCTAACTTAACTTCCAAAGTCATACAAAATAATTACTCACACTCACCAGTTGCAGGCAAAATTAATATTATTCAAAACTACCACAGACACCAAAGCATCCACCTATCTGGAAATTATTGTGTGAGGACCTTTATATTATCGATTAATATATTATCTAAAAGGGAGGGAATAATTTGCGGAATTGTTGAAGATTAGATATCAAAATTTACTCACGGTGGATATAAAGTTAAATGAGTAACGGATAATTTGTTTAGGGATTAGGATGGATTTTTATTTCAAGCTACAGGGCGCAACATAAGCCGAACAATTTCAGGCAAAACTGACGGCTTTTCAGTTCACAAAAAAGTACTAAATATTCCTTGACTTGATTCGCAAAATCTTTTTAGTATGTCTTTTGCCAGTCAATTAGTTTTGCTGGATTAAACAACATATTTCTTTTGCAGTTGGGTTTTGTTGATTAGGATTAACGGAAGAATATTTATTAAATATTTTGATATCCCTATATGTATATCAGAAATGAATCAGAAGGATATCTTAGAATGCCTACTGTAATAGGTTTTTATCATTTTGTTAATCCGTACATCAGTAATAGTAAATTTGTAGAAATTTAATGGTGTCACATCACATCTATTAGATATTGCTGTTTGTTTCATTACTAGACATTTGTACTAAAAAACGCGATTCCAGTTTTTTATTGTCTTGTACACTTCAGGTTGTCATTGTACGTATCTAAAATTTAGCTTAGAATTGCCCTCAGTATGTTCCATCAGAACACCAAAAATACATTACATATTTAGTTAATGCATTTGCTTAATACGCTTTCCCAATATTTATCTTATCAAATTTGTCCACTACACGATGCAACCAACTTATCCCTTTGCGATTTTAAATTTAATAATTCGTTTAATTTAGAGTTAGTTTAAATTTATTGCGTTGGTTAGTGTTAGTCTCGTTTACTTTTTAATACAAATTTGAAAAAAAATTTACATAAGAAAATACACTAAAGCATTAAAGATGTTAATTTGCAATACAGTTCATACATATTTGCCATGTTCTATTTTCTTTCATAAGCGTATCCTTCAGCATGTTTTTAAAAGCAATTTCGTTTTCACGAACATATTTAAATTGTCATAAATTGATCAACTCATTAACAACCGATGTTTATTAGCTCTGTTTTCCAATAGATAAGCGATGGATACGTTTCCCATTGTAATTTCTATGCGTTAATCCACTAGGCCTAAACGGGATTAGTGTCTCTGCAAGTAGAAATTTCAGTTTAATTGATAAATAACGTATTTTTCAACCAAATGTTAGTTTCACATCATTGGTAATTGTCTAAAAAGAAACGGTTATAGTTGGATTCTTAATTACAGTTACTCCCCATAGAATATGAATTATTATTAAATACGGAGATATATTTTTAACAAATAGATATCTTATTTTTTGCACGTATAATTCGCTCGATAACACTTGTGCCTTTAAATTTTTAAGACATTAAATCGTATTTAAACATAGTTTAATTGATTAATTGTTGACAAGTTACCAGGATGATTAAGCTATTTTGATTTCGTCAATAAGTCAATTCCTTGAATCGGATTTTGTTGATCGTGTTCTAATATGGCAACACTCGTTGGTACTAAAGTTGCAAACAGCAGTTTTCAACAGTTGACTTTTTTTAAACAATTTCATTCAGCTTAATGCCGTAATAAGCTGATGAAACTGAATTACTTACAAGCGCTTGTTAACTTTGGGTTATTTGCGAACTATTCTTGTTACTTTTTATTATTTTATATTTTCATCTTTTAACAAATATCCGATAGGATTTAGGAACCTTGCGCTCTTCTTACCTCTCCATTTTTCATGGAGGCAAATGTTCGTTGATCAGTTTTTCGTACCATGACGATTCTGCTCGACCCATCATGACCATGAGCGGTTTTCCTGAATCGATGCAAATCAGTCAATGATCCAGGAAAAGTGGATTTTCGCCTGAAAAAAATTAAAGACTCATAATCATAAATTTATCTAAAGTGAATGTATGAACGTATTGTGATTAGAACTAAATTTGGAAGACTTTGCATGCAGAAGAATAATTTTCGGTTAAATAGTTGACGAACAAACTCAATGAAAAGCTAGCTGGCATATATGCATAAGTGGAGAAATTGTCACGTAAAATAAATTCATATGTTCCATTATAATGATGTAGATAATTGTAAGTTTTTATTTACGACGCATTATACAAACAGACACGCGATCTTCCATGTAAAGCTTTCCTGCAAAAAACAAGTTATTTAATGACTGAATGTTCTTTTCTTCCTCAAGCAGTTGCATGACAATAAAATATGCTTTTATTGAAAATTTCGGTATTTAAAATACACAGTATTTTATTAGAAAGCTGTAAATTGGGATTACATTTTTCATCTAGATTTAATAACGTCTGAAGCTAATTTTTATACTTTTTTTGATTAAAATTATAGATCCTCGTTCTTATGAAAATAACAGTTTGTAATATATTTAATAGCCCAACCAGAGTTAGGATTTACTGACATTTGTTCAAACTGGAATTTTTCGTGTTTAAACGTCGTGGAAAATATTTTTTTTCCGGCGTTTTGAAACCACCAGTTTAAAGCTATATCAGCAAACCCTAACACTTTTATATATTGTTGTTTTACTGTTAATTTTTGTAATATTCATGAAGGCAAATCGTTGAGCTTAGGAGAACCATCGAAGAGAAATTTTATTTGATTTCCTGGTTCATTGACTATACTCACTGTGGATTTTAAAATATAATTTTAAGACCAAACATTTTTTTAAGAGGTTCCTTTTCTTAGTAGATGTTTGTCGGCATACAATAGTTTAGTTTTCTGAACATTTCTTTGCAATTTTCTTGAAGAGAAGCTGTAATTTTTTTCAAATTCTCAAAATTCTCAATAAATTTACACGCACAGAATCTTTTCATATCTAAAACCCCCTAAAAAATACATCAATACTAACACCACAAGTAGACAATCCACTAGCATTTTCACTCCAGTTTTTCTTCGCAAAAATAAAACAACACCAGCGTAACCGTTAAAGTTTTGTTTTGAACTAGACAAAATAGCGAGACCGTTTTGTTTTGCCTTTCCATTCTTGGTTCCGTGTTAGCGCCCATGTGTAACCAAACAACCGGTACCACTCTTCATAGTCATAGTTTTTGATTAGCTAGATCAGGTGCCACATGATTCTACTGTGAACGATTAATCTGCCTGGCTTGCGAAATGTTGGCTAATTTAAATTGGGATGACGATTTTCAACATCGATTTATAAAACTGCGAAGCTGGAATCATCAGGAATTTTTAAAACTTTTTTGGTGGCTTTTGTCTGTGATAGATGAAGCCGGGCAGTATCATCTTAATCATACGCGTCATGGTAATACAAGTTTATCTATAGATATTAGAAATAATATATTTTTGTGTTAATGAAAAATACTTACTCTGTTAGTTATTTTTATTTAAATTTAATAACTTTTCTTCTTCTAAATTTTGATGATGAAGTTTAACGTATCAGTGAAGACATTTGAACTGTTGTACAATTTCCGTTTTCATAAACCGTGTTTTTGACTTGAACTTTAGTAGCTTTTCTGATTTCACTGAACAAGCTAATTACTACTGTGAAAAGGTGTTTATCATTAAAAAGAGCGTAATTTTTCGAGTAAATTTTAATTATACTTTATTTCCTATTTGGCAATAGTTGGCAATTGCAACGGAAATGGGAAGTACTGTTCTATCGGCTTTCGTGTCGAAATTTGATAAAACGACAAAGAAAGTAGTTGCACAAAACTATTTGGCGATTAGTTTTATACTTGTGGAAAGTCGCGGCGATAAGTTGGAAAGCAAAGCTAAAACAATTGAGCAAGTAATACCTTATTCCTAAATATTGTGTCTTTGAGACTACAGGGCGATTATTATAAAAATAATCGTCCGAATTAACGTATTTTGAAGCTAAAAATTTCACTATTTTAATGAAAAACCCTGCATATTGTTAAATTATTGTTAAATAATATAATACTAATTTAATAGTAATTTAACAATATTGAGTGCAAAGATAGGCTTAAAAATTAAATAATATACATTAAAATACCCCATATTTTCGGTGTGGGTTAACACGTATAACATGCAATTTGAAATGACCAAATTACTTAATCAACGGAAAAATAGTTAAAAAGTAATATTTTGGAGTTTGAAAATACGTTAATTTGCGCGATTATTATGACCGCTCTGTAATTTGAAAGACAATATTTTGCATACCAAATATTAATATAGTATATGTTCTTTCTCCAGCCAAATTTCAAAAATTTCTCTCTCAAGACGAAGGACTAAAAAATTATGAAATTTTCGATCATATTTTATATAGCAAAAAGCAATTGAAATTTACGTATATTTATTCAAAAATCAAATAAATTATAGGAGTGTTTCATCAGTTTTTCTGTGCTTCATAATTGAATGATGTTTTTTTGTGAATATTGAGAAGTGCTTTTAGTACTATAACAAATAAGACCGATGAAAAATATTATTTTTTGTTAAAAGCGTGCATTTTTTTCAGAAAAATTGATGACCGTAATGCGACTATGATTTTGCATTTGTTTCTTCTTAATCTGCAAATTTTTCAAATTTTATGTTGAAACTTCTAAAAACAGTTTTTGCTTCGTGCATATCTTTTAAAGCGGTGTTGTTGGTTCTTCAGAACTTAAGGATGGTCATAGTTTGCACAAAGTATTTTAGGTCTAAATGCCGACTTTTTCAATTAATTTTTAGCATTTTTTAATGGATTTATTATCTAATAATATCAGCTAATAGGATTTCCTGCAGCTGCAATACATGAATTTTTGTACTTTCTTTGGTATTAGAAGCGCAATTAGACAACCTGTTGGATATAGGATATTCCATTAAAAGTAATTAAAAATAATGGAAAAATCATGTTTGAAATGTCGATATTCAAACATAAATACTTGCATACTGAGAAAGAAAATAGATCTAGACATAGAGAAGAAATCAATGTATGTAAATAGCGTACCTAAAGCAGGCGATATTTGTTGATAGCAAATTCTATTCAAATAAATGTGCTTTTTCATTATGATCGCCCTGTGCATGTTTTATTCATTTTAAATGTTATCCTACAATTTTTTTGTGGATGGTTAGCGAAAAACTGTCAACTAACGCCTATAATTAAATGAACGCCCTGTGCATGGATTTATGTAATTTGCGAGTAAATGTTTCAAAAACGACGTTCATCCGCAACCAGAATATGTAAATAAATACAGATGAAGGCAGTTCTTTTAACTTTAACTAAGATTTTGAATAATTTTCCTCGCGTTTGAATTCTTAACAATATTGATCGTTATTTAATTCCTTCTTTAAACGTTAAAACTTTTTTGCGACGGTTCTCTTGCCATGAGCATAGCGATACTTTACATAATTTAATATTGTTATGAATGTGGTCTTGGTACTCGGCATTAAAAAAGTTTAATGTTGTTCTTGCTCATTAATATATTTTTTTGATGTATCAACGACATAAAACGCGTTTTAATTTCTCATTAAAAACTGCTTCATGTAGATTCATTAGCATAATTATCAATATTTTAGGATACGTATTAACTACATTTTGCACGAAATATTGAAAATGCCGTTCAATAAAAATGTCTACAATAAATTGAACCACAATCTAATGGGTTTAATTAAGAAAATGTTAGTTTCCTCGATCCTTGATCGTTCATTTGTAACATTTTCTGCTTTCACCGAGCATGATAATTATCGCGAAAAAGTACCTATATCTAAACAGTGAACATGCCACTTCTGCTAGCAAATGGTGTTTGAAAAATCTAATTAGATTTAATTAATACTTATTTGGTTATTGTTGGGCTGGAAATAGTAACGGAAATAAACGATACTGAAAGTTGGGATGATTTGATGTTTGATTTAAAAATTCGTTATCATCGAGTTAATACAATAAGCAACGTTTAATTGAAAGTGACTAGTAAGGTGGCTCCTCGTTCAAAATGTTTTTAATAATTAGGTTCATTGCGTTGCTTTATTAACTGTCTGCTTATTTCACACTATATTGTCCATTTAATTCTTTTTTAATTACACGCAAAAGCTTGCTTACTTATTTATTAACATAAAAACTGTTACCAGCATACTTTTCATTTGACAATTGGTTCGAAGCATCTCAAAAGGTGAATGATTCGAACTTAAAATCCATGGGGTTTCAAGATATGATCAAATATTTACAAATTTTATGCCCTTGTTCAGAGAGATTTATAATATTTTCGTTTATGAATGTTTTTTACTTACGAGATAAGCTCTCGTTTAATGTTGCGAAACAAGTCATTGTTTTCTCGTTTGGATTGTAGGTGTTTGTTGTATAACCATTACCCGTGGTGTAACTCATGGTAGATTAATACTCAATTTTAATCAGGTTACTTTTAGCACACAGCTTTATGGTGTGTTGGTTTTTCGTGACAATTTACTCGTTGGCAACCTATTTTTAAAGGAAAATGGAAAATTATCTACTTAGTAAAACTTTTTAAAGATAAGGAATACTTGATTGTAGAATTTGGCTTTAGTCCAAGCGTTACATAGTTTGAGCATTTCAAGCTTTGATGCTTGCTTTTACGCGATAAAAGCCAAGTTTTGAAAGTCGCTTTGCTGCCATCAAGAATAATACAGAGAGCATTATATTTAATTTAGAATAATTGATTAAGAAATGTGAATATTGATATTTTACGTCAATTTTTATACTTATTTTTGTTTCATTAATTAGTGAACGAATTTACTAATCGGGTATTATTTTAGTGTGCGGCCATTTGCTAAGTTTCTTTGTCTCGTGGTTGGAACTTTCCAATCGATGTTACGTAAATTAATTGGGTTTTATGTTAAAATGTAATTGCCATTTTTTGCAGTACAGCAAAGGAATTTGCTATTGACCTATAAATTGTTAACAGGGTTACAATGAGTTTAATCAAACGAGAAAAAATGTTAATGTTTCAATTAACTGACTATACTTTTGCTGCGCTTATAGTTATATAATGCATCATTTTTATATCATTGCGTAAACTCTCTATTAACGAGCCTTTTTTGCAGTAGTTCTATCCACAAATTTTAAGAATTAAGCAAGATGAGTCGATAAAATAATAGGAGTCACTAATTTCAGGTACCTAAGTAACTGAAAACAAGTTTTTCAGACTGAAAATGACACAAAATAATACATAAATTACATATGCTCCCACTCAAATTATAATTTTCTGAAATAAAGGAAAGCAAACAAGATGTTATAGTTATAAAGATGAATTATCGTCCTAGGCGATGGTCAAAAATAAGAACCGAATGCAAGCATACTTTTTAAATAAATTACTGTATTATTAATGGGCGGAAAAAACATCCCCTCTTCAAATTTTATACCATTGCTTAAACTTGTTTGCTAACTTTGCTGTTAATTTTATTTGTTTCAATTCAAGCACTAATTAACAGTACAGACCAACTTTTGTATTAATTGAAATATGAATGATAATTTCACTAAGAATTATAAATATGATTAGATATTTATTTATTTCGCGTATGGCGTCTCAACACATTACACAATACAATACAACAATATAAAACAAACTTAGTTGAATTTACAAACAAACGATTACATGAAAAAATAAATAAATGATCAGAGAAAAAATGGACGTTCACCAATTTTTGCGCCAAAGTTGAGACAAGACAAAACGAATGGACAGACTAATGGAGTTTAAAAGAAACATTAATTCCTTTTGTGCACAAATTTATTGAATGAGCAAGCTTTCCTTCAGATTTGAACTGAATCAAAATTGTTTAAACCTAAATTAGTGTCGATGCAATGGCGAATGGAAATTAAGTAGTTGTATTTTCAATGTTCTTAAGACTTTGATCATTAGATCATCATTCAGTATGTTATTAATAAAAAATTCCCCCAGCGAAATAACCGCGGAAAAAAAATTGGGAACCTTCAAAAAGATGAATAAAACCGAAAGAATTAAATTTAGAAAAAGTTTTGAAACGTTTGGCATATACAGGCTCCTGCACTTTATGCAATTTTCTCATTAAATTTGTCCTTATAATTAAAACTGCCTCCGATACAGTTACAGGCATGCACAGCATGCTTCCTGTTTGGAAAATCATAACAATCCATATAACCTCAACATGACCTACTAATAATGAAAAAAAGCATTTTACCTTGATGGGGTAGAACAAGCTGAAACCGACATAATTCACTTGAAATGCGCTGTGGTATTGATTAAATCTTCAAATTGACTATGCCTATGCTGCAGTTTTGCAGCAGGAAATGCCGATCTTTTCAGGATTACCGAGGGGATGAAAAATGGACAATTTACCTAAATACTAGAGACATGCGCTGGTTTTCTCCAAGTTCATGGATATTGCTTGTGGAGCGTTTAGTACAGGGACAAATGTTTTCCAGCTGCTTAGTTGGATATTCCAAAATGTTCTCAATTTAAAATTAATTTATAGAATTTTTTTTGCTTTTGCTTTTAGCTTTTAGCTAATAGTCAGTGGACAGCTACTCAAATTAATTGCCACTAAAACGACATATAAATGTATGATTCACATATAAACTCGACAATTCAGTCGAAATATTTATAATTCGATTGCGGTCAATTTTAATATTTGGCCAGCAGTGACAAAGTGCCCTAAAATGGTTCAAAAAGCACATCTTGAACAACATTCCTACAAATTTCTAGCCAGAAAATGGATGATGGATTAGTGGTTTTGAAGAAAAGCATTTTTTTGCTACCAAAATTCCCAGAGCTGAAAGTTTTAAAGTTTTTCGTATAGAGTACGCAGGATGATTTTTAACTTAATATTTTCTTTTAACAGTAGATAGAAATTATCTCAATAATTTATCTCAATCTCTCAGAAAGCCGTTTCCTAACTCTTTCCTTAGTTGGAAAATATCGGCGGTTTTCACACCTAAACGCGAACTTTGAATATTACAGATTTTGCGAAAATGTGAACAAAATATCCTAAGATTTATTTTGTCAATGGTTATGCTGCTTTAAAACTACTTAATCCATAGGTCTCTTGAAATTCCAACAAATATCAATCAAAAAGTCTCTGATTAGACCTGATTGATTTACGATTTTTTTCTCACATTTCAGGAACACTTTGAGCTAGAACGCCCATTTTTACACCACTGAAAATTAAGTAACAGATGTAACATTTACCGAGTGAAATGTTACTTGTTTCCATATTTCGAAAATGTAGTGAATGAAAATACGGTATATTCTTGAGCACTATGTATTCTTAAAAGGAAAATATAAACTTCAATACATTTATTCATTCTCGGTAATGTGAAAAATTCTTAGAACCGAATGTGAATGCACTATCATAAATCATTTAATTGACATGTAATTTGTCTCTACTTTATCTGAACTTTCACACGTTTCTACAAAGATAAAAAATAAGTTCGTAAAAAGTAAACATTGCATTTTTTCAGAAATATTCTGATAAGATTAGTACATTTTCGTACAACTTCGTGTTACTTCTTGAACGTGGTGTAAACTTTTCGAAATAACTGCTTTTATTTTTTACTCGATTTATTCTTTATTTATTAAATAGCGAAATTTAGGAAACATTTAAAAAATAACCTAATTACACTTAAATAATCCGTTCAGATAGAAAGTTTCTATAATTTGTTAGCCTGTGACCTTGAAGCAATAAGGAATTTCTGCAAAAAAAAGTTCTACACTATGTCTGTAAATAAAAGCACTTCATCTAAATTTTATTTCGATGAAAAAAACTATTTCTTGTTTAATTCTCTATGTGAAAAAGGCTGAACACTTTAAGAAGACCGTTCAACATCGTTTAGAAATGCTTTCTAGACTTATTATTAGACGCGCAAATTAGATTATTAAAAGCTTCCTTAAATTATTATTGGTAGTGTCGAAAAAACAAATAAATTCGGTAATTCGTTGTTTGAAACCCACAATGAACACTTTATACAATACAGATTTTTAGATCAGAGACATTTTTCATATCAGAGAAGACGTTTTAATTCAATTCAACCATTCAATTGGTAATTCGGTTCTTTGAATTGACGAACTTAAAATCAGAGAAAATGCGGAATCTAAACCGAAATCGAGAAATAATGTTTAAAAAACAGATTTTTCATTTTATTTTTAATCTCTTGCCGACAGAAATTGAAACGAAAATATTTTGTTAAACTTTTTTGTTGTCCTAGAACACTCCGTTTTTTGGGATCAATTTGAAATCACCTTGTATATTACAAATATTTATAGATCAAACTTAATAAAGTAATTTATAAATCGTACTGTGCAAAAAACGAATACATAATCATATTTTCAATTTTAATGATTATTGACATGGATATTTCAGTATTAAAAGATGTAAAAAATTGGGTAATTTTTAATGTTTTAAAAAGTTTTTTACGTAAACAGCGTTAAATAATTATAAAATTAGAAATGCTCGCAAGTCTTTTAATGCTAAATATCATCTAGATTTAGCATACACAAAATACTAAATTTTATTAAGTTGTTTAAAGGAATCGTATCCGACCAGACCGATTTTCCAAACTCTTTAGTAAAAGTGTAGTAAAAGCAAAAAAGGTGTCCTGTAATTTTGTATTCCTTTGGCTCAATTTTGTGACCAAATTTGTTGTTTTCCGTGTTTGCAAATTATACGATTCCTATGTGGAGTGAAAACATTTCTTCACATCTTTCACATCTCATTACTAAAACCTTCATTTCTTTAATGATCTTCCTTACTGTGTTTGATTGATGAGAGCGTTTACTTTAATTAGAATTAGATACTCACGTTTACTATAAGCATCGAATACAATTTTTAAACATTTTTTTCAACTTTTTAATCGAGCTCGAGAAAGCAGAGACGGGGACTTCTGGCAATAACTGGAGTGATTGAAAAGTATTTTTAAAGTGTAGAAACTGGTGTACAAAAGGCACATCTTCTAAGGGCATTGACTTCAAAACCATTATATAATTATTAGAAATTTTTAACGAGATTCCTGTAAAATTAAAGTTACATCGTAAATTTGTCGATTGTTAACAAAATTATTTAAAACTTTTTTATTACCTGCAACCACACGCTTTTTTAAGTTCGGGAGCTAAGGAACCGGTCTTAAACTTTTTGATTATTTACTGATAAATGCGAAACTTTTCACAGCATTTCTAGTTACATTTTAACACGTATTCGACGAAAATTTTATTGTATAGTATGTAAATATTAATAGGGTGTAATCTTCAGCTATTCTGCACGAAAACTCTTAAGTTTATCTTGGTTTTTGATGACTCAAAATTGAAAAGTAAAGCCATAATCTGTTTTATTTACCTGGCAGATTCCATTTTTGCTGAAACTGCAGTACCTGTATCAATTTAACTGGTAGTTCACCCACTGCACACAAGTCATGTAACCTATCTATTGTCCGACACACATTTTACAACTAAAAGTCCATCAACCGCTAATTCTATTTTAATAACTGCAAGTCCAAAACCATCAATTAATTTATTATTGTCAGTGGCTTTTACAATGACATTAATATACTTTTGTGGATGGGTTCGTCCCAAAAAGGATAATGGGTATTCTGTAACACTTTTAACTCGTTATCAATTCAGTTCGATTAGTATACTTTGCTGGCGGTTTATTAAGGAAGTCATTGTTTACTAGAGGATGAAATTATTTATTAATAATTTAGACAATGTGATTCATTCTCATTCATATAACTTTTCTTAAATGATTCAATGTTATTGAAATTTTATCTTTAGTTGATATAGATGATTCTTATAATACATACTTGGTGATTATATGTGACGAATAATTTTAAATTAAAAAACTTACAAAATTTTAGAAAGCCACTAGCCAATTTTCAATTATCACAAGTCAACAAGACGAAACCTATAAATTTAATCTTTTTAATCCTGATATGGTTGGTGAACTAATACTGGAGAATTTTCGATTATTTGCAAACTAATACAAGGGAATTGAAAAAAATACGTCCATCGTTGTTCATTTGCGGTTTTTTGCGTCGTTTTTAATACCTTTCTGTTCATTCATTTAGTCCTCCGACATTGTTTTGTTATTTTAGCAACTCTGGGCGCAGTTTAATTATATGTCAATTAAACTGCAGCTAATTAAGTCATGTCTCATTAAACATCTGATTCCAAGTCACGATGAGAATTGGTCAACTTGTAACGTTTTTATTCGAACGAATTAAAAGTGTACGTTTTCGATACGATACATTAAGAAAACAGTTTTCTATCTTCTACCACAGTAACATTATTACACAAATTACATTAGTTGGTTTATTTATTTTTGTATTTTCTATAGAATTTTAATTCAAAAATAACACTTTTTATTTATCGTTAAGCTTTTAAAATAAAGATTGAGGATCTGATCATAAGAAGTCCATTATAATGCTACGATATTTTACAAGTGAATACATAGTTTTATGTAACGTTATCAACAGTTTTATCAAAAACTTACTTTTTTATGAACAGGTTCCACTGTATGTAGGTGTAGTTAACAGAATAATTCTTTGGCAAGTCATTGGTACAATATAACTGGATGAAAAGCAAATTATTGCATGAAAATACAACGTTTAGATAAAAACACTTATACCACGAATGCTATTGATATTAATTACTGTTCCCGATATAATAAATTAGCAATTTATGTTAAAGCCGCTTTGATGAATGACTGAAATAAAACATATCTATTTAGATCATACCGTCAGCAAAGTACTTATATGTTTGATTAATATAAACGAATTTTTTGCTTGAAAGTTTATTTCAGATGTTTGGACTTACTGAAACCTTAATTGAAACACTAAAGTTGCATGAAATTTTCACTAAGGTCAGTCACTCACGAGTCTCCAGAATCACTGTAAAAAATTTGTTATAATCACTGAAAATATTTACACTATGATATTGTTAAGCTTACAATATGTGCGTACTGTTTAAGTTAGCGTCTACCGCAATTTTAAATTGCAAACAAACTAATAATACACTGTTGTTTGCTATGTTCCTTAGGCCACATAACTAAGATAAGAAATAAGTTACCGACACGCTAGTTAAACCCAGGCTAATGAGGAAACTATCCAGGTTTTATTGTCAATGTTTAAGCGAACTTCACTCAATAAATAAACTGATGTCCAACATTTATTGCCAATGCATTTATCGCTTTTTTTCTGGCAGTACGGGACAATTATTTTCCTACCAGCGGGTTTAGAGGTCATATTCTCGAATCAATCATTGTGGGTTTGCTTTATTGTACTAAAACTGTAAATGGGTTGAGAAGGTTTGAGGATTTTGCTGTGTGGTCAGTATTACCTTTTCACCCTGCCCTTTTTTGAAAGCGAATTTTTCCATAAATTAGGTCAAGTTTAACCGCGGAAGTTGATTATTCAAATTATTTATTATACATGTGAACACCATATAAAAAATCAATGTCGATACGAAATTTAATCAAACAATTTGAAATTTTACGACCCGAATCATTTTTTTCAAGAACTGATTTTGCAGGAAAATTAATGTATCAAGTTCACATAACGGTTTTACGAAATCTCTACCATAACAGAGCTGCAGGATCTTGAATTTAGATTTTTTTTTAAATTTTTTATAATAATTTGTCTGGTTGATCAACGATTGCTTGCACATTTGGCATACTATCCGCAAATATTGGACAATACGATTGATTAAATTTGAAATTCAATCTTATACTAGCAACTAACCATACCCAAAACAAATACTGTAATATAAGTAATTTTATAAACTCATAACAAGTGTTATGTATTATTATATATTATGTTATATATTAAGTGTCTTCTATGTATAGATTAGTTCTCTTCACAAAGTTACGACGTGCGTAAAGTTACGACGCACTCTAAAAATATTAATTCTGCAGGGTTTAAATCGAGTGATCCGATAGTCCATTTCAAACCCATCTCATTCTATCCATTTTTACGGAAAGTGTTTTTTTTTGTCCGTGAATCATTAATGTAGTGGGTCTTCATATTGAAGTAGCTACATGGAATTTCTAATATGAAGATGTACATTTTCTAAAAAACAGACACCTGCTTCTTTAAAAATTTATGTATATTTCACTATTGAATCTTAGTGGCATGAAATATAGTCCAACTAGTTGATTTCTTGTTCTGCCTCTCTACACATTCACACAAATTTTGCTTTAAACTTTCGGTTCAACGATTCAATTATAATTTTCCTCAGCCCATGTATGAACATTCTATGCATTTTTATCTGCACCTTCATCTGTAAAAATCAATTTTTTTACGAACTTTTCGTCCTCATTATGAAGTTCCATGATTGATATTTAGTCCAGCTACATCATACATACATAAGTCTTTATCTATTGAAAAAGATTCGGATACAATAGATGATCCTTCTAACCTTGTGTTGCGAATTTTTTTAAATATTTTCTACTGCAGTAACTAATCGCACATGAATGTTTGGCTTATTTTCAACAGAATTTAATTATGACTTTCAACTGATTCTCATTGTGTCCGTCCCTAAAGACCTCAAAGAATATTGCCTAAAAAGATCCAAATTCTTCAGGTCTTCTATGGAAAACTCTAAGATCTGAGATATAAATTCAACGCTGCGTAATTTTTGAGATTTCGGAAAATACGCTGCTTTATGAACTTGAAAAATGAACTTTTCATGCTGATTCAGCCCCTGATTTTTTTTAACATGGTTTCCGGGTCACTTGTCTTAAAAAATTAATCTTAAAAATATTAATAAAACATACACCCTCAAATATTTAATCATTAACTTCCTCATTTTATTCTGTCTTCTTTTACACGTACTTCCACGGTACGTTTGAGTTCAATTCGTCCTAGTTCTTTGCCACCCGGTATATCGGCGTTTCATATGATTTTCTTGATTATCTTTGATTATTCTTGGTCAACACGTCTCAGACCAACTTTTCTGAGTTATCGGTTGCGAAACACACACTGCTTTTTCAAAACTTGCTGTTCCACATTCCACTTTAGGATTTTAATGTTTACATTCTTAGATCGATTTATAAATTTAATCTGCCATACATTTTCTGCACTGCTGTTGTAAAAACTAACTTAATACTTTGTCTATTCAGAATCAAACAATTGCGGTTAATATGTGAAAACGTGTAATTTTTTGGAAAAAAGATGCACAAATATTGCATTATTTACTCTTTTTCGGACAACATAATGCAAGCATGTGAACAGACAGTGCATTTCTTGTGTAACTGATTCTGTGAATAAATAACTTACTAAATTACTAAATAAGCGTTATGTTTGGTTCATTTTTGCTATACTTTTCTTCGTATATATGCCTAATTATATGGCTCAATATTAAAAAAATATATTTTTTTCAAGCAATTTCAATTTGATAAGCTCCCCACGAAGAAATAAAAATACTTAAGCAAAATGTAGTTATCTCATTTCATACGTACGGTACGATAAGATTGGTTTCGAGAATTTAAACAGTTTTTACTATTTCCTATTTTTCATTACTTTATTGCACTAAATCTTTCCAGCCTTAAACAACTTTCTACGATTTGGAAAATTGGGTGACTTGTTCAGCCATTAACATTAGTTAGACATTTTGCTTGTTCATAGATAATGAATTAATATAAAAGTTGTGATTCATAACGCTGTTCTGTGTAATCTGTTTTGCAATATGCTGATTTATTTTTTATTTATTTATATATTTATGGTTTCAATTGCTTCGCACCTGAGTTTTACAAAACTTATTGAATATCTATGTTGGTAATAAGGCAATCAATATTCACTAAGGTGGAAAACTTCAAGGATGATTCCTTTTTGAAAATAAAAGTAGTTAAGTAGTCAATATTATTCAAAACAAAATGCTAGGAAATCGAAAATATTGGGGTTTTGTTCTTAATCAGAAAAAATTCTACTACGCATATTTTTCACTTTTTTTAAATAATGCTACAGCATTGAAATAAACTTTAAATTGTTGAAATTTTTCTCTCTTTTTCCATTAAATGTAGGGTTTTGAACTAAAAAAATTATATATTATGGTATAGTGTATCGACAGGTCGCAGTTTTACTGTAGTCTTTTTAGAAGACAGTCTAGTTAATTTTTTAATGAATAATCACATAAAATATAAGTTATTAAAATAAGTTTTGACACTCGCTTTTATTTCAGTCCCTTTACATTCATACACGAAATATGAACAAATCGTAAGAAATAAACTTATTATTTAGACTAATGAAGAACATATCAATGTCGTACGAATAAGCAGATGCATTTTCACATAAAGAATTTCATGCCTGTACAATTTTCTGCTCGTGATGATTATAATATAATAAATAAATGAATTGTCTTTTATCATTGCAACATTGAAACGTTCTTTAAATTGCTGCTTTTCGACCCGCAATACTTTGCGTAACATTTTTAAATACATTCGTTTTAGAGGTTTTTCAAAAGTTTCACATGAATGAATCATCAATGAGAATGGTAATTTATTGCACCATCTACTTATTTGCAACATTAGGTACCTAATTTATTACAAATTCTTCACTATCTCCGCATTTTTCATATAGCTTTCTAATTGTCAACTTGCCACTTCACGTTTAATCACAAAATACCTTTTGAAGTTGATAGCTTTTGTTTAAAGCACCCTGTATATTTATTTTGCTCTATTTGGTGCTTTCTTGGCAGCGTTTTTGCACTTTGCGGTTCTATGGACTGTATATTTATTTTAATTCAAATTAAATAGCAAATAAATCACACGCTAAAGATAAACTTACTAAAACCAACATTAAATTGCAATTAATAAATATGTCTATAAGTGAACTAAGTGAATCTAAATCAATTAATTATAATTGCATGAACGTACCATGTATGTTCCATTCAAAACTCGTCTAAATTGGGAAGAATTGCAGGCAATTTGAGAATATAAGCCGCTTGTAATCAGACAACCTTCATATTTTACAATACTCTACCATTTATTTAAAATTATATGTCATTGTAAAACTGTTTTGTTTTTGTTGCGATCGCCCTCTCGATAAGCACTGTTATGCAAATATAGTTCCATCAGGTTATTATATTATGCATACAACCAGCACTGAAATGTGGCATTTTTTCAATATCTACTTTTGTTGCTGAGCGATTTACATTTTTAGTCGTAGTTAAGTATTTATTTTGCACGAAGAGAATGACTCTCCAAAATCACCACTATTGAACGCTTGGTCAACTTTCTAGTCTCATACTGAGGAAGGATTTTCCTCATTTTACGGCTATTAGAGCAATGTGTAAAGAACCCTTTATAGGTCGGGAAATAATCGTTTTTCCGCAATCCCTCTCTTGCGTGACTTGTGGGTGCGATTAGTTAGTTTAATGGCTTCGATTTCAGTTTTTGGGTTTGTCCATGTTGGCCTCAACCTTGATCCAAAGCAACCTTGGACTTATGATACCCCTTTTTCACATTCAGACATACTGGTTGAAATTTATCGAGAATACCGTAATATATTCAGCGGATTTCCGTCTTTTGTTTCCGCAGATAATGTAATCTCATTGGTGGTTTAGCAGATGTTTTCCATGTGAGAAATGCTAAACTATAAACCACTAATTAACCTGTCGAAACAAGCAGTAAATAAGTCGTTTAATATGATGTTGAAAGATTTATAGTTTACACTAAACTGCTTTTAAGTTTACACTAAACTGCCGGTCTTATCAGTTTGGTCATGTAGATAATATCAGTTTTTGAGCAAAATTAAGATCAGTAGGATTTGGAATTAATATTTGGTTAGAAATAAGCAGAAATAGAATCTGATACTGTCAACCAGACCCCAATTATAAACGTTTTGTCAATAGTAGGTAGATCTCAAAAATATCATCACTGTTAATATTCGTTGAAATTTGTTGAATAACGTTTCGGTATTAAATTAATCCATCCATCATCAATTATGGTGCCAGGTTCAGCTCTCTTTATTTGTCTCTGAAAATTGTTTAATTTAAAAGGGAAACGTTGAATGCTTATCGAAAATTACAGCTTCTTTTTATCATTGACATGGAATATTAATTTAATTTCATTAATTTTACAATATAATTTTATGAAACGAACCCAGAATCAATTTCTAAACGACAACTAAAGGTTATTACTGAATCGGATTTTCAATTCTCTATCCAACGATCTCAAAAGGAATTCTGTGACGCAAATGGTTCTTGAGAAAATAAAAATTTGCAAGTTCAAAAAAAAACACGCAAATCTAAAAATTTTTGAAATCTAGACTTTTTGAGAAAACTGCCGACACATCCATATCGATGGTTCACTTTCTAAAAAGGCTTTTTAGTTCTCTCTGAAATGATGTAAAAATGATTATTTTTGTTCATTTTGCCTCCGAGAAATGAGCAGAACGAGGACGGAAAACCTGAAATTTTGGCATAATCTTGCACCTAAGTGTCTGATATTCAAATTTCGCTGTCTGGGTCGAGACTACTCGAATTTCCTTACTCATGTTGTTATTACTGAATAGAATTTTTAGTTCTCTATCTATCGATGCTAAAACGTATTCTGTGGCTCAAATGGTTTATGAGAAACTTCGAAAAAAGCAGCGTCATGTTTGAGTCGATTTAGGAACTCAAAAAAAAAACTACGCAAATATAAAACTTTTTAAAATCAAGACTTTTTGAGAAACCTGCCAAAATATCCATATCGATGATTCACTGTCGAAAAAGGCTATTTAATTCTCTCTCGCGTTTTTGTTCATTTTGCTTCCGAGAAATGATCAAAAACGGTACGAAAAACATGAAATTTTGTCATAACCTTGCCCCTAAGTGTCTGATATTAAAATTTTGCTTTCTGAGTCAAAACTTCTCTATTTTCCTCATGTTATGACTCAAGAATTTTCAGTTCTCTAGCCAACGATATCAAGTCGAATTCTGTGGTGCAAATGGTTTTTAAGAAACTTTAAAATATATTTTACATAATTTTTATTAATGAATATTTATCTTTTGTGCAACATTATAAGCTCTAATAAGTAAAACTTACATAAACTATTGCTCCAACATGCAGGTCAAATATCATCAAAAGCCACTTTTCCTGTTGGCTCAATTTGCTTGAGCATAATCACATTTCCGACACGAATTCGACATTATGCAGATATTGAGGCATATAAAGAACAGAAACAGTCCATAAAATAGATGAACCTTAATTGGTGTTAATGTCGAAATGGGAGGAACAGCAAACCGGCGTCGTATTACCAAAATTTCCGTCTATTTAAAACTGCTATTACCATTCGTTATTTATTTTAGTCATTAATTGTCTTTTTATTTCATTATTATTTATTGTAGTGGTTTACTAATAATATATTGAATAATTCATATTGGCAAGTGTGACCTATTGCAAAGCCACTTCTACTTACATATTTTAGGTGTGCAATCATGAATTGTTCACGACATCGGTTGTAGAAGTAGTCAACGTTTTTCCGTTTAATTATTTAAACAACTTTATTCAGTTTTGTTCTTTTAAGCATTCAACTTCTCAAAAAAGTATAATATCTGTATTTTCTAACGGACCGGTTATGTTTTGTCACTTTAATAAACACTGTTTACAGCAGAACAGCTTATTAGAGTAATATTTATCTTTTATACATCTTTGTATCTTATATACATTATAAAAATAAAAATACAGGTTTGTTATTATCAGTCCACATAAAGGCCTAATTTAAAAAAAAACATTAATCACTTTAGACATTTAAGCGATTATTTATTTTTGGCGATGGATATGGAGTTTTAAAATTAGGTTTTTATCAATAAATATTTTATTTAAAAAAATACGTTTGTTTCGCCCTCTATGAGCACTAATGTTCCTATGGACAATTTGGAGCCCGCTTGCCTACAAGCTTCGGGCATTGCCTTCCACTAGATTCACTAGATGCCGCCAAGTAGCTGATTGTTATAAATTCATTTTTTTAAAGAAGTTTTAAGGCCCTGCTAATTTTTCTACCCTTTATCAGCAATCCTATTAGCCAATTCCATTGTTTTGGTATTGTTTTAATAAATTTAGTAAGTCGTCATTGTATTAATTTTTTTGTCAAGAAAATCAACTTAATTTTTTCGAAGAAAAAGTACATAATCACTGTTTTAATTTTAAGTAAAAAGTGACACTTAATAACATATTTGATTTTGAAATGTTCATATGCAGTTATTAGGAATTTGCTGATACCAATTCTAGTATTTTAACCAACATTGATTTCTGGTAAAACTATCATATATAGACTTGGAAAAGAAGAGTTACAAAGGAAATGTGTTATAGCTCTTGCTTTTTCAATAGATTAAAAATAACGTAAAGCTTATTGCCTTCTAACTTATACGGTAAAACTATAATTACTTTTAATTTTAGAACTTCGTCTGAATTATCGTCTTAAAAACCTTCAAAATTATTGTTTTGTTTTCAGTGTTTGAAGCGGGCAAAAATGAAAATCTGCCGTTATTTGCTCAAAGTGGACACCCAGGTTGGTCTGAATCACATGTAATATTTACTTAAATATTAATAAGCATTTATTTTTGCTTACATTTTTTCATTAAAGTCGTCTGTCACGTTCTTACAAAGCTGTTTTCAAAACTACACAAATAATGTTATTGCATGCTATTTTTATATTTAGCATAAGTCGATTCGGATTGTTCGTTCTCAAACAAAAATGGCATCAAACGCTTCACATAGAAAATGCTTTGAGAAATTTGGTAATTTTGATACGGTTTTGATATTTAAGAAGACTTTATCAGGTAACACAACAGATGGAAGATTAAGTCCGTTTGCTTCTGTTCAGTAAACTGCAGAATTATGTAGAGTAGAATCTCTGGTAGAATACACCTACTTGAAACATTAATTGCATTATTCTTATTCCATGAAAGTGCTATTTATTCCATTGGGTTCGTGGTTTCTGGCCGTTCACAGACTTGAAGATTGATAAACATGAAAATTTCTTGTGCATGGGAAAATGTTTTAGTAAATTTCCAAATAATTATTCAAAAGGTGGTTTAATGGAAATCTAGGGAAATATGGATGTTAAAAATGAAACAAATGGGTTAATATTTTAATATTTGATTGTTTTGAATTTATTTGAAGGAATTCTAAAAGTTTGAAGAATTAAATTAAAAAATTGTTGAACACTTGCCTTTTACACGGTTTTTCCATTACCCCACAATTTTTTTTTATTAAAACAACGTTTCGGTTGGTAAAATTTCAACTATTTTCAGGGAATAGGTACTGTTACACACTATTCACTTCAACGGAAAAGTTTATTCGTGACTAATTTAACCTTAACATTGTCTACCGCTTTTGCTTTTGCTTTTGTTTCCTTGAAAACTGCCTGTTTATCCAGCAAAAATCTGTTTGTCTAGTTCAGAGAGTCTTAAGCAATTAGTAGTTTATATGGCACATATAAAAACTCTAGGCTTACAACTATTACAATATTATATTCTGACACTATTAAATAGTCTGGTATCAATTCTGTAAAATTTCTTTGATAAAATTCTCGCCTCAATCCGGACAATGACACCGAAATTCGTCGCTTTTCACAAAAGGAATATATTTACAATTGCCCTAATAATGACGTCTTTGTATACAAACAGACATCCACTTTTCAGTCAGTCGGACAAAACCTTTCCACTTTGAAATCCTCAGACGTGATAGCTCTATTTTTCCAAACACCCGCTCAAAATTGGACTACAATGAGTTTCCAGATATAGAGTTTACGGAAACCAAACTTAATTGAACTATGTTTTATCTGTTCTTTAGTGTGTTAAATTTTTAATTTTAGTTCAAGTTTTGTATTGCTTGATTAATTGATTGTTTTGTTTGCAACTGAAGGTCTGGTGTGTGTGTCAGATCAGATTGGTCATTAGTTATGTTTTTTTTTYATATACTTTTAACTTAACGCTTTTTATACCTTTRAGGTTCATTCAGAGATCTTAATGCATATGCAAATAATGTTTGTTGTTTAATGAAAGTCGTTTGTTTACTGTGTTATGGAAACTACAGTATTATCTAAATARAYATACCGAGTGTCCAGTTGAAAACTTCYCACCCTTAATATCTTTCTTGCAGTTGAAAATATGAAAAATCGGAAAGACCCGTCAATTTCACTTGTAAGGGGGACACTTTAAATAMATMTTTTTAACCTCCTTGTTTCAACCCCTTAGGAGGGGTAGATGTCACCCAGAGARTCTTAAATGYGAAGGGGGRTCAAGTGGCACATCACTTTAGAGAGCGTTCAATTCTCTTTACATTAGTTACTTTGTTGCTTTTTGTCCAGAGGTTTCCGAATAATCGCGTTTCAAAGTTACAGAAACAATAAAACTTACCTGCATTGAGATTTTGTTCGTGGGCGCAGTTCAACAAAAATTATGTCATTGGGTTTCTTTATGGTACAAATGATTAGAATATTCGGTTACACCGTTAAAATCGTTGAATAACAGGAAGAAAATCTAGTTTAAATAATTAATTTCAAATTTATTGATTATTTTACAGTAAAACCTATGAGATCTATTTACGCATTATCTTATAAGTTGTCTTTTTTCCTGCAGACAATAATCAATCCTATTTTCAAATTCTCCCTAACATTGATAAAATATTCCCGGATAGATTGATTGGCTGTAGGGGACCAATTGAATGGCCTCCAATATCACCGGATTGAACACCCTTAGACTTATTTCTTTGGGGACATTTAAGTCCATTGTTTATAAAACACAATCTGCTGATATTGATGATCTTAAAACTTGAATTGTAGCAGAATGCCTGTCAATTCCCTGTGAAGATTTCTGAAATGTTAGGCAATAGTTCAAAAACAGATTTTATTATTGTTTACAGGACAATTGACAACATTTGAACAACTTGTTATATAATACCGTAGTAGGTCCCATAGGTTTTATTGTAGAAATTTATCTTCCGCAAATAAAAAGTTATTTTTGTCGATGTAAAATAATCAATAAATAAGATCAAAATCAAAAATAAGAAGTCAATGTTTAAAGTAGATTCTCTTCCTGTCATTCAACGATTTTAACAGTGTAAACTACTCTTCTAATCATTTGTTTTAAAAGGAGACCCAATACATTCGTTTTTGTTGAAACACCAACGTGAAAACTAAGATCTGAATGCAGGCAAGTTTAATTGTTTTTACAAATTTGAAACGTGATTTTTCGGAAACCTCTGGCCAAAAAGCAACAAAGTGGTAACTAATGTAAAGAACGCCCTTTAAAACGATGGGCTACTTGACCCCCCCTTCCTATTTCATATGCTCATGGTGACAGCTACCCATCCTAACGGGTTGAAACAAGGAGGTTAAAAATATTCATTTAAAGTGTCCCCCTTACAAATAAAATTGACTAGTCTTTCCGATTTTTCATATTTTTTACTGCAAGAAAGATATTAAGAATGGGAAGTTTTCAAATTGACACCCGGTATAGAAGAAACTTTATTTGATTATGATTCACAAATCAACAGAAAGGTTCTTCATCTAATGCAGGCCGCTGATTTAGTTTAATCTTTGAGTCTTTGAGCGAGTTTAGAAATCCTTCCAAAATAGGGAGGGAATAGAGAATGCAACTAAACTGAGAAACAATCAGACAATCCTGTATAAAATGTTTTTACCACATTAGCTTTTATTAAGTTTTTTTCAAATAAAATTTGAACTGCTCTTATTTGGAAACACGTAGCTACTAACAGTACTCGAAAAACATTCTTGATGTAAAAAAATAACTTATGTTAATATCAATGGTATTATGTGATTATCAGTGATTGTCCGCTATATATTTTTCACTCTAGCTTACGAGCTCTATTTTAGAGCCTGAGGCCAACTCAAATATGAGTTTGACATGGGCTGAAACATGTCTGCACGTCAGTCATATGTCGACAAATAATTCAGTTTCTTTCAAGAGATATTTGAATGGATGTCGAGGTGTTCTCTCGAATATAAATAATAAACAAAATATACGTCTTCAATGGGGTAAATTGGTGTAAAACCTGAACATTGTATATCACGAGGGTCTTTTTGGTTGAGTCCTTTCAGAAGCCTAGATATTGTTAAGAAAAAAATAATACGAGTTTAATTTGTAGAAACATTTTTTTCGTGGCAAGAATGGCAAGATTCAAAAAAATACCATGGAAGTTGTGAGCGAATTTTGATAGGATTTTTCTTAAGATGCGAATTAA